GAGACATTTTTTTTATGGGAAAATTAGAGACAAATTGGTCAAACTACGCAACTCTTTAATCAAATATAAAGAAATCGTCAAATGGGAAGATCTATATTCGACATATAGATGATTTGTCTATTTAATTATTTTACCATAAAACGGTGTAATTCAGGTAGCACAGCATTTTTTATTTGAAGTATCATTGTCCCGCGGCCACAGTTTTCTAATTCTTTGCATATGCTAATTGGTTGTCTCCCTTTCATGAGAATCCATTACGTATTGCAGATCTTATGAAGGGGAAAAAGATACGGGAATTATAAATAAAGTTGGTTATCCACCAATTACAAAGACATCCAACGCGCATTTCATACAAGGCGAATTTGGCACATTTGTAGTCACATAAATGATTTGAGAGTACATATCTGTCTAGGTGTGTCTGTCACTATATATATATATATATATATATAAAACTTAAGTAGCCTAAAATAATTTATACATCACACTAGAGCAATTAGTGAGGTAATATTTCATATGATATGCATTAACGCTGTGACCTGCTTGTGTACGAGTAATTAGCACGAATGTGATTTCTTTTTTTCTTCCTAGCAAAAAAAAAAAAGAAAAGGAAAGAGAAAATGGATTAAAAGGAATAAAAGAAGAAAAACATATAGTTGTGCATAGCTGGAGAAATATAGAGAGGGAGAAAAGAAATTGGAATCTGAGCTTGAGTTGGCGATTTGTTGAATCTATTTCTGTTTAGCTCTATGCTGTTTTGCTTTTGCTTGTATTTAGGGTCTGTTTGTTTCGACTGAAAAGATTTTCCAGAAAAATATTTTTTATGATTTCCGCTGTTTGGCTTAATTTAGAGCTAAGAAAATGATTTCTCTTGTAAAATCTTGTCCATAAGTAGGTGTGAAATAATTTCACTTATAAACTTGCTGAAGTTATTTTCCACCCTCTAATCCTGTCCCTTTTGTCCATAGTTACATTCATCAACATAAGAAGTAAAAGGCCATAGGAAACAGTTCCTATGGGATTGTTTGACATCTTTTGGCAAAACACCGATCCTGTCATCCCCCTCTATTCATTCCATGTTATTTCTCCTCTCACGCAAATGCAATCCAACCTATCGCACATCCCATTGCATCTGAAACAATTAAGATCTATGGAAATAGGGAGGATCTAGAGAGACAAAACAAGGAGATTGGCAGCATAAAAAAAGAAGAGATCTTAGAGAAACTTTTACAGGAGGAAGGAAGTCTTTTAAGATTGGCCACGGAAGAGAGAGATATGAACTAATTCTATATATTATCACTAACAAGGTCCAACTTTTGCTTTGGAAATTTCAATATGAGATCTTCTAGATCTTTGAAAGAATTTTAGCGGTAAAAATATTCTTGTGAAAATTGGTTTTATTTCATTGTCATCTTCAATGTCTTATGACTGATTATGGTTGACTTGGAAAACTGATATTGATCATTCATGTGTCTATTGCTTTAATCTCTTCTCAGTCAGGGAATGATGGCAGGAATTGATGAGGAATTGAATTGAATTCCTTTAATCTCTTGATACGGTGAGGAATTGAATTAATTACTCATGAGGACAAATGTTTTTCAAAATTAACCAAACAGATGAAAATTAGAAAGAAAACAAAACTTTTTCAAGAAAAAGACTTCCCATGAAATTATTTTTCCAAAGAAAATATTTTACAACCTACCAAACAGACCCTTAGTGTAGCTTTTGTTCCTTCAGAGCTGTGCTATGTTTGAGGGTTTATCCTTTTTCTTGAGTTTGGCAATAAAATTGAGCTTAAAAAAACATTTTTTAAGTGCAAATAGGAAGTTTTGAACTCCCGATCTCTCACTCACATTTCTTTCTTTCATACCATTCAAACCAAAAGAACTTATAATTTGAGTGTTCCTTGTATAGTAGCTTAGTTGGTGGAGGGAAGATAAACTATGCACAACAGTCACATTCAAAATAAGCAGTTAGAACTAGAGACATTTGATTTGTACATAAATGAATCAAGACTGAATGGAATAATATGTGAATGTAGTCGTAAAATGACAAAATTGATGACATTTTGGTAGATGTGATTGTGAGGATTAAAGATGCATGATTTTGGAATAAAATACGAGCAGCAGCCAAGCTAATCATTTGAGTATTGACGCTGAATGTAGCATATTAGTTGCCATATTTAAAAAAAAAAAAAACGAACGAAATGATCATTCATATCAAAGGACTACAAAACGAATTAGTTGCATTTGTATTGGAATCTCAGAAAAGAATTACTATTCAGAAGCATTGATGACCGAAGATAGAAACCTTGGAGATTTAAGGTTAAACCGTAACAACTCCTGCAAATGAAATCTTATGTCTTCAGTCGACTTAACTAGATATCATTTCCGACAATAGATGTGCTAATGTGCAAAGCAATGACAGAAATCTGTAGTATTGTTTTGTTGCTTAATTTCTATAAGTCATAAACAAGGGTTTGATACTATTTCTTGCACTAGGCATGGAATAATTATCTATAACAAAACAATAAAGAAAGAAAAGCAACTTATTATGTGTTGAAATGTCTTGAATCAAATCTTCGACCTCCGCTGAGCTGTTCTTACAGTATATATTAGATATCGTATTCATTTTAGTTTGGGTCTCGGTTTTTTGGGCCTAATGGTCGAGTCTGTTTTGATTTTTTGGTTGTATATATATACCTTATATCCATTCTGTACATAATATATCTGATATATTCCGAACTCTAATAAAATCTGATTTCCCCCAAATTTGTTCTTGCTTGTTCTTGTTTATTCTTCCGTTCCGCTGTATCTGTTTTAACATTATGTAAGCCAAAATACAAAAGAAGGGGAATCCCAATGAAATTTACCTCTAAATTAATAAGAGTTTAGATATGGTGGAGCAAAGATGAACACGTGTGATGAAAATGTTGAACCCGACAAACAAATAGTAAAAAGGTTACATATCTGAACCCCTCTCAGCATTCAAAACTGCTTTCTGTTTATACCATCTTATGTTTGGAGATATCCCATGATTCCTATGCTCTAGTAGAAACTTTATGTGCTTCTCTCCTGACAAACATTTGGGACGTTACTCTATTCATTAGTCTCAAAAGGAATGTTTTACTTGTCGATCTAGTTCTTCTAAACCTACTTTCTTGTTTTCCATTATACCAAAACTTTCAATTGCAAAGTCTTCTTTCTTTCTAGATGCTTGAAAAACTGAAGAAAAAAATAAAACACAATTATGGCCACTTCTCTAAAATTTAATCAATACCAACATGGTGAGCTACAAACTATACCAACTCTTTGAGCTATGATACATGTGCTTAGCTTAGACAAAACCTAGAATTGATTTGGCAAAAGGGCAGTCGAAAATAATCTCAAAAACCAAAAGCCCGTTTAGATCGTAAGTTTTCTAAAATTTTTTTTTTAAAAAAATATACTATAATATCGTGATGTATATAAAGTAAAAAGATAATTGAAAAATATGTTGAAAATTTTTTATTTTATTTTATGAAAACTCGCAACAATCCAAGAAGGGCCCAAGATTTTTAAGGTAGCACTAAGGTAAAAGCAACAATACATGTTCGCTAAAACGTATTAAGCAAGTAACTTAGGTGTAATAACGAGATACTTGTAATTCTAGTGTTGCCTTGGAAGTCAGCACTGGGCGAGTACAATTGAAAAGCACACATGACAAATGGCCCTCTAGGCAAAAGGCAAAGTCTTATTTCTTCTCTTGTGGTCTAGACAAATTTCCAATCTTCTTTTCTTTGGTCGTCTAAATCGATAGAACCGATGTAAAAGTAGTACGCAACTTCCGTGCACCGAAGACTTGTTACAAGAATGTGTTTTTGGATTGCAAGTTTTCAAAGAGAAATTGTTACATTTTTTGTGGACATATTTTTTAATCATATTTTTATTTCACATCTATCAAATTATTACAGTAATTTTTCTACAAAAGTCCAGAAACATGCAATCCAAACAACGCCTCACTGGAGCATGTATAAGCTGGAAAATTATCTGAAGGGTAATTTTATGGATTTTTTTTTTCGGTGAGGTAATAAAACTTGCATACACGGATTCTTCAGAAAACTATCTAGAATCGAAATGAATATATACATGCATAAACTCTCTACTATCTGAAATGAAAAAATGAGATTATTTTCAGTATGACAAATTTGTGGAGGATACATTAATAAAGCAATCAATGAAAAGGTTAATTGAACCACGGTCATCAAACTATTTCAAATATTTTGGTAATTTCATTCATTGAACTTCTAAATGTCTATTGATTTTTATTTTTGAAAAATAAACCAAGATGCCCTTGGAATGGTAAGATTGGACGTGGCATTAACTGAAGCAAATTAACAAAAGTGGCCCAAGTAAAAAATAAAAAGAAGAAATTTTGCAGTAGTTCACAATTACTGGATCACTTTGCTTGACCGAACAGATAACAACAAACAAGAAGCAATTAGAAGGAAAGTACTATTTACACAAATAATTTCACTATTGACTTGCTATTTCTTGGTCGTACTAACAAGAATTGTCCATCATCAAACTTGGTGGAAAAGGTAGAAAAAGGTAGAAGTAAAAGTCCTGATGGACAGCTTTCAACATACGTGTTCGAATGAACTGTTGAGAAAGTTCTGTCCACACAATGAAAGCGATACTGTCATTACCTAAACCTTATTTTAATTTCTATATGCAATTGGTTACGAGAAGCCTAGCTCTTCCTTCTGTAGAGGACTTCAAAAACAAACAAGAAACAAGAGGGTTGCTAGACGACTTTTTCTGGTTTTTCCTTCAGTTTGGAAGCAACACTTAAAATAACTGAGAAAAAGATTTTGACCTTCTCAATGAGAATTCCATCATAAAAGATTATGTTATCTCTCTTTACATCATATATATATAACTGTGATCTGTCCCAGTTTACCAATACATTGGATCAATATATCTCCTGTCTTTTGTATTGTTCGTGTCCTTCATCCTTGCAGGATGGCGAGGTCCCCAGAAAATGGTGTAAAGAAGGGGCCATGGTCGATTGAGGAAGACAAAAAATTGATTGAATATATTGAAAAGCATGGCCAGGGAAACTGGCAGACTCTTCCCAAGCAAGCAGGCTTAAATAGGTGCGGCAAGAGTTGCAGGCTAAGATGGACCAATTACCTGAGGCCTGGTATCAAGAGAGGAGGCTTCTCAGCTGAAGACGAAGCGACCATCACAGCCCTCCATAAACAACTGGGAAACAAGTAAATATCTTCTTTTACCTTTTGTCATTTTATTTTTATCAACGACGAAAACCTTTGACAGTCAAATTTCGTGTTCCTTGTGGAACAATTAGGAATATTGGGCTTAACCTTGATATTTAACATGTGGTTTAGGTGGTCAAGAATTGCAGCTCACCTTCCTAGACGAACTGACAATGAAATCAAGAATTTTTGGAACACGCATTTGAAGAAGAAGCTGCTAAGGAAGGGCATTGACCCGACAACTCACAAGCCAATTCCTGATTTTAATCTCCTCAATCTTTCTCAGACTCAGCTCTCATCAGTTTCGAATCTGTACAATGTCATCAGTCCTTTGGATACTGCTCTTAACTTTCAAGCAAGTGCTAATGACTTGATCAAGTTCCAACTCCTCCAAAACATGATGCAAGCTATAAATCCAAATCCTCTTCCATATGTTCAGGGAAACACCAACTTGGCAGATCTTATCCAACTTAACCGGATTTTCAATGGGGCAAACACCGACTTCACTGTTGATCCCTTACAAGCACAGTCCATGACTGCAAATTTCTGCAATATTTCTCCACTACTGAATCAACAACAGACTTCCACTTCACATTCTTTGCAATGCTCAGATGGTGAAATGATTCCAGGTCCCATTCGTGATGACAACGTTAAAGTCCCCAGCAACGTGTATAACTCAGAATATTCTCTTCCATCATTATTTTCAGCAACCCCTGAAAGCTCCGTTGTGAACCCACTTGAAAACTTCATGCACACTTCCATACTCGCAGAAGCACCTGAACAGTCCAATGTCTTCGATGCTTTGGAAAGTCTCGTGGATGATGAAGCCAGCAGTTCGTTCTGGAAAGACATTTTGGGATGAGTTTTCTTCCCAGTCTTGCAACTGAAGGTTTCAGAGTAAATAAACATACCACCAAGTGGTAATACAAATTATGCATGTTAGATAAAGTCTTCTCGTGCTTCCGTTTGCCTGTTGGGAACTTGGTCGGGAGCAGAACCACCAGGCAGGGTGGTCGAGAATTATTCCCCTATTAACTTTGGCTCAGAGGAGCCAAAATCTCGTGAAAATCCTACTTATTTATGGAGTCATCTCCAAATTTGTTGCAGCATCATGCCACCATGGATGATAATGTTCTTCTATGGCACCATGAGGTGTGTCTGCCTATGTAAAAATACACCTGACTACTACGTGTATATCATTGTTCGTGAATATAGATTCGGTTCCTTATAGAAAGTGATTACTGCAGAGTTGTTCTTCATTCAGGACAGTCTTAAACTTCGTGAATATTTAAGCCTGAATGCATCTATAGTTGGTAATAAGATAAATTTTCCTTTATGTATTGGTTGAGGATAGAAAAATCTTCGCTTCATTGACTTCGTTAATAACAAAATCTTCGTTATAGATAAGATTTGTTAAAACGATATCTATGTGAGAAAGACCGTAACTCAAGTTTAAGCACTAACTATCTGTGTTTTTCTTGCGTTGCAGTTGTGCTGCCTGTAAAATTCCCTCTTGCTCATCATATTCTGGGCCATGTAACTTGAGTGTCGGATTGCCTTTTCCATTATGCACTTAACAATATTTGTCCATTTCACCTCTACAACCACACAAGTGGTAGAATTTCTTATAATTACGTACTGATAGAATTTCTTAATTCACACATTAGGATTATTGTATTTGGTCATTTAGGCTGCACAAAAATATTATAACATTCTCTTATTTGGACAAATAACCACATAAATCGTGATAATATAGAACATATAACAGAGTAGAATGGCCACAATAATTATCATGAGGCAGCTGTCCATCTTAGCAAGAAGCTTCTATTCCATATACTTTATTCGGTCGGCCTTTTTCTGTTTTTCATCAAGTATTGTAATTATCCTATATAGTTGGTCATATATCAATTTTGATATCCATATTTCATTTCATGTATCAGAATCTCAACAGGTTAATGTAAACAATCCTAATAAGGAAGAAATAGACAGTAACTATTATATCTATTTGATCGTCCGAATATTAGTCCTGTACGACATCTTGCGATACCATACAAGAGCAAACATGATGCACTATTTTACACTTGCTCAGTCAATTATTTAATCAATGATAGTAAAACTCCATGGAACAAACTAATATGTTTCCAAAATTTTTTTGGTGCTAATGCATTCATCAATAGATATGCTTAAATGTACACCTTAAAATTTATGTATTATTCATAGAGTAATGTAGCAGTTAATTCACCTTGATGTGCTTAAATCCATTAAAACTCTTTTCGTTCTATAATAGAAAACAATAGTGAAAAACCTCGATAAAACATAAACAACTCAATTAATCACAAATAGTTAGAAGCATTATGGCAAATATGAAATTAGCTAATGAGTTCCTTATTAGTGATATGAACATGAAGATAACTCTGCCGACATCCTTAAATTATAAGATCAAGAATCATATATAACGTAAAGGTGATATATCCTCAATAACTATATCAATTTACTTAATTGAACGCTCACTTTTTTTTTTTTGCATTGTTTAGTACTAAGACCAAGAAAAATGCATAGGCATTTTTTGGTTTTTTCCTCTCCATGTATCTATTATATTTGTGTGAGTGATGGGTAAATATTGGGCTACAAATGAATCCAATGACTAGCAAGTGTTCACGAGCCGACCCGGTCAAAAGTCAACTCGAATTCAATTAACATTGAGATCGAGTCAAGTTCAAATCAACTAAGTTGAGCTATCAAACTCAAGCTGAGCATAGAGAAACTCGATTCATTAGCTTGCAGGTATATATACATGTGTGTTTGTGTATATATAAATATAAATATAAATATATATGTATGCATGCATATATATTATTTTAATAGTGAAATTACACATATATTCCTAATATTTTTATTATTTATTAAGAAAAATAAATATTTTATTCATTTTTAAAAATAAAATAATTATTTTTAAGCTCAATTTCAAGTACGACTAGGCTCGAATTTGAGATCGAACTTGAGCTCAAATTTTATATTAAAAGCTCTTGAGCTTGATTTCAAGTTCTAAGTTCTAACTTGATAAAATTGAGTCAAGACTCAACTCAATTTGATCAAAACTCGACTCGCCTCATTTAAAACCCTAGATAGACATACAAACGTAGATTAGATGAAAGAGCGGAGAAGCAAGAGTCCGTGCATATTAGAGTTCAAACCCCTTCTGGAGTTTAGAGTTATAGATAAATTCAAACTGTATAAGACTATTATTACAAATAGAACTGAAATAGGTGTCATAATTTCCTCTAATTATTTATCTATTTTTGAAGTCTGTAGTTGCTTTTTCTTTTCTTTCATTTTTAATTGCTTATTCATAGGTATCTACATAACTATTTATACTTTTAATAACTGAAAAAATATATTCACTTATACACTAAGAATGCTGTACCGTGGTAATGTAGGCCACACAAAAATATTCTAACATTACTTACAAATCAGAAACTATTTAGGTCTTCAATTGTTTAAACAACTGATTCAAAATTCAAATATGTACTTACCCTCAATTAATTATTCTAAGTATTAGTCTAGATCACTATAACTATTGAATAAAATCGACATTGTATTGTACACTTGATCTTTAAAAATTCACTTCATATTACCCTACCCTTTAAACCTCTAATTTAAAGCATGGATAAACATGATCATCATTTAAAACCCTGGAACTAAATTATGTTTGAGTAAAAATATATGTTTTCTTACATAGTATTTTCTACTGTATAGAATATCTTTCTTTATTTATTCCCTTAACAAATTTGAAGAGCCACCATTAGCTAGATAAATTTCTTCATCTTTCATTCTTAATTTACTTTGGTTAGGGGATGGCTATTGGGTGTTCCCAACCTAGATCTTTTCATCAAACTTTTAACCAAGAAGTGTTAGACCAGGTTTGATTAATCTAATCCATTCTCTTAAGCTAATTACTTTCACTTATAGGTTAATGATGGTTGTGGACCTACCATTTTCAAGCAAATCAGGTAAGGAACTCGGATGAACTTCAGCAAATCTCACCAATCTTCCTAACCACTGCCTTCGATCTATTGACAAAATGGGAGCGCTGATGTCAAAAGTGTTGATTAGAGGGGCATAAAGAACCTTGAGATAACTTTAGCGGAGGTCAAGCACTACGGAATTCGGTGAAATTCTGCTTCTACTGTAAATTATTACTAATCAGGTAAATAGAATATTTTTGTGCCATAAAGCTATTGGTTGCATGGGAGTTGGTGGGATAATACGTAAATTGCATCCAAATACAAGGAACTGACGAGGCTGGAAGATAGTACCAGCTCGGGAGAAAAGGGTCAAGAAAAATTTGGGACTGGCATTCCTATCCGTATTTGAAATTTGTCATTAAAGAAAAAGTGTCATGATTTCTCGAATTTGGGACAGGACTGCAATCATACCTGAACATTTCACTGTCTTGATTGGTCAAGAAAAAATTGTACGATTCAGATTACGAGCTGTACATCAATTTTAACATTGTGCGTAAGACTCATAAAAGATGAATTAAATTTACATTATTTTCAAATTAATTTACATCCTAAACATATGCATTTACATTTTATCCAAATACATGAAACTGTCTGGACGGTTTTCACAGGTGACAGTTCCAACCTTTGATCTTGATCTTGATTTCTCTCGTCACTGAGTTAGTGTTCGAATTCCATACGTAAATTTAACTTTGCCCACTCAACAACATGGCCAAGATTTTGACTCATATTGCCATTCAATTGGCATATGTGCTATCCAGGAGGCGACATTATTTGCACATCATTTTCCACCCCTTTCTTTGACAATCAATCTTGTGATTTGAATTCTTCTCGACTTGTTCCTGATTGGCAAATAGGAGCATTTTGCTCACCCAATTACTAAGTTCTTTCACCTAATTATTATTTTGTTCCAAAACCGAGTATATTGATAAGAATTCAATTGTTTTCTGAAAATCAAAGCACTCTGTGTTTCCTGTCGACCAGGATCCTATATATGTTTATGGTCGCTTTAACTATAATTTTTAGCGTAGGGCAAAATAAAATTACCCTTTTTTGTTTGCACAAAAAAAATTCACATACAGTGAAAAGAATTTCTAGCTTATAAAAAATATGCAGAAAGATGAGAAGAATAATCACACAAAAAATATTTAACAATTTTGTTAACTGGAATTTCAACAATAAAACTCATGAATAATAATTTTAGAGACTTTCCTCTGTTCTCACAATTCAACTCTTCAAGTAATGTTCCAACACAACTAGTATGTATAGATTAATCAACCAAAACCAAGACTAAGTTGGACAACTAACTCAAACATCACCGCCGACTTTGTTTAAGCCTACGAGTCTTGGAAACCTTCCTCTGGGCTTAAGTTAATGAACTTGAAACTCGAGATCAACTAGAACTATTGACTACGATGCAAACATAAAAACTAGCAAAATCTAAGAAAGACTCAAATAGTGCTATATTCCTATGTGGCACCAATTTATAAATAATGTAAAACTTTCCCAAAAAAATAGTTAAGACTACAAAGTAACTTGTATAATTTATTAAAATTGGTTTGAAAAATGCTTCTAACATTTTCTCATTGTGGATTAAGCTGGCAAAGGTACACACAATTTCCTTGGATGATGACAGTTTTAAGATTTTAAGTGTCACAGGGGGCCATCAATTCTATGATTATATGAATGTCTGCTAAATGAAAGCTGCTTCTATTTCTATTTGGGTGGTTAGGAAATCAGTTGATACCATTTGACCAACCATTTCCAACTTTGATTTTCAAACTATTATTTATTGCTGATGGGGCAGAATCTTGACCATCCATAGGGAATGTGATGGTTTTCCCCTATGCACATTTTGTCAAATTAAACTGAAATATCTTGTGCTTTTTCATTTTTATTTCATGGTACAATAATATCCGTTCATATTTCGAATGGCTAAAGCTAACGTAATTTTACCACAAATCTATGTTATTCAACTTTTTGTTCCTCAATCCTCATTTATATTTGCAAGCAGTGATGAGAAAATACACAATCTTAACAGAAATTAGGGTTAGTAGGATTCCTCACCTTAATTTTACATAACAAAAAATACTTATACACAAATTGACAATTTCACAAGAGAAATTTCATTCATTTATTTGACACACTCTAGAAAAGAAACCCATTCTCGTGTGTGTAAATCTCAAATCTGTACGGCAAATTAGAGAGAATATTTGGCTTATTTTATTAAACACTGAGTTTATCGTAAACATGACTTCGGCTCTGGTTATGAGTTTCCCATCTCATATATGTTAATTGGATTAAGCTTCTTG